TTTCATAATAAAACATAAGGAGAGATGTGTTTTGAAGTCTTCTCTGTCATTAAAAATGACAAATATGAATTAATCTTAAACAATTTTATTTATTAATAATAAGTGATGATTTTTTTCTGAGGATTTTTGTTTTACATGCTGACATTTCTGACAAAGACTGTTTCTGGTAGCAAATGCATCTGGTTAGGTTAGTTGGTTATTAGTCATTTACATATTCTAGTTACTTTATTCACTTATATTTTATAGTTTTTTTTTAAAATTTTGAATAACAAGTATTCATTTATTCTTAGTCAATAAATGTTATTGAACACTGTCCTAGATAGTGAGGATACCGCCGTGATTCAAATAGAAGAGACAACATAAATCAATAAATGTATAAGTAGATTGTATATATATGATATATATATATATCATATATATATCTGATGATAAGGACTATGAAGACAAATATAATTGGCTAAGAGGAATTGAAAGTGCAAAGTGAAGGTGCTCTTATAAAAGGTCATCAGGGCAGTCTCTCTGATAAGAGACATTTGAATAGAGGCCTGCAGGATGCCAGGGAATGAGGTGGAGGGAACATTTCAGGTGGCAAGTGAAGCAAGGCCTCAGGGAACCCTTTTTCTGAAACTTCTAGAACAGGGAATAATGGGTATAGAAAGCAGTTTATTCCCTCTCTGGTTGATGGATTTGGAGACAGACTCATGTAGCTCCCGACATAATTTTTATTACTGAGCAATAAATACCAAGACTGAAGAGAGCAGGAGAGAAGAATTCTTGTGTTCTCATGATTCTTGTTGATGCCCCCTCACTCCTCAGAAGGAAGGAAGTAAGGAAGGATGGGAGGAAGGAAGGAAAGACGGAAGGAAGAAAAAAATGTGACACCTTAAAAAGCACTGTTAGAAAATGTAATTGTTTTATTTATGTCCAATTACTTTTTTTTCACTTTAAAAATTTTTATTTTGTTTTTTCTAGATATACATGACAGTAGAGTATATTTTGATATACATACACGGAATATAACTTATTCTAATAAGGATCACATTTTTATGGTTGAAAATGATGTGGCATTTCATGGGTGGCGTATTCATATATGAGCATAGGGAAGTTATGTCAGATTCATTCTACGGTCTTTTCTATTCCCATTACCCTCCCTTTCCTTCATTTCCTTTGTCTAATCCAATGAACTTCTACTCCTTCCCCTCCAACCCCACCATTGTGTGTCAGCATCTACAGAGAGAACATTTGGCTTTTGTTTTTTGGGTTTGGCTTATTTCACTTACATGATAGTCTCCAGTTCCATCCATTTACCAGCAAATACCATAATTTCATTGTTCTTTTGCCTGAATAATATTCCATTGTGTATGTGTACCACATTTTCTTTATTCATTCATCCATCTGTTGAAGGGCACCTAAGTTGGTTCCATAGCTTAGCTATTATGAATTGAGCTGCTGGAAACATTGACATGTCTGTGTCACTATAATATGCTGATTTTATGTCCTTTGGGTATAAACTGAGGAGTGGGATAGCTGGGTCAAATGGTGGTTCCATTTCAGGTTTTCTGAAATGCTTTCCATAGTGGTTGCATCAATTTGCAGTCCCACCAGCAATGTATGAGTGTACGTTTTCCCCCACATCCTTGCCAACATTTATTGTTGCTTGTATTCTTGATAATTGCCATTCTAACTAGAGATGGAATCTCAGTGTAGTTTTAATTTGCATTTCTCTAATCGCTAGAGATGTTGAACATATTTTAATATATTTGTTGACCATTTGCATTTCTTCTTCTGTGAAGTACATGCTCAGTTCCTTAGCCTATTTATTGATTTATTTTATTTTTTTTTGTGTTAACTTTTTTGAATTTTTGTTTTATATATCCTAGAGATTAGTGCTCTGTTGGAGATGCAGGTGGCAAAGATTTTCTCCCACTCTGTAGGCTCTCTCATATTCTTGATTGTTTCATTTGCTGTGAAGAAGTTTTTTAGTTTGATACCATCCCATTCACTGATTCTTGATTTTACTTCTTGTGCTTTAGGAGTCTTGTTGAGAAATTAGGTTCCTAAGCCTACATGATGGAGTGTTAGGCCTACATTTTTTTTCTAGCAGACACAAGGTCTCTGGTCTAATGCATAGGTCTTTGATCCAGTTTGAGTTGAGTTTTGTGTAGGGTGAAAGATAGGGGTTCAAGTTCATTCTACTACATCTGGATTTCCATTTTTCCCAGCACCATTTTGTTGAAGAAGCTATCTTTTCTCCAGTGTGTGTTTGTGTTGCTTTTGTCTGTTATGCTATAACTATATTTATGTGGGTTTGTCTCTGTGTCTTCCAATCTGTTCTATTGGTCTTTATGCCTGTTTTTTGTGCCAATATCATGCTGTTTTTGTTACTATAGCCCTGTAGTATAATTTAAAGTCTGGTATTGTGATGCCTCCTGCTTCATTTTTCATGCTAAAGATTGCTTTGGCTATTCTGGTCCTCTTATATTTCCAAATGAATTTCATGACTGTCTTTTCTATTTTAATGAAGAACATCACTGGAATTTTAATAGGAGTTACATTGAATCTATATAATGCTTTTGGTAGTATGGCCATTTTGATGATATTAACTCTGTGGATCCATCTTTCCATCTTTTAAGGTCTTCTTTAGTTTATTTCTGTAGTGTTTTATAGTTTGGATTATAGACTTCTTTCACCTATTTTGTTAGTTTGAATCCCGAGTATTTTACTTTTTTTGAGGCTACTATGAATGGGATAGTTTTTCTAATTTTTTTTTCAGCTGATTCATCATTGCTGTATAGGAACACAGTTGATTTATTGGTGTTATTTTTATATCCTGCTACTTTAATGAATTCATTTATGAGTTCTAGAAGTTTTCTGTTGGAGTTTCTGGGTCTTCTAAATATAGAATCATGTTGTGGGCAAATAGGAATACTTTGAGCTGTTCTTTTCCTATTCATATCCATTTAATTTACTTCTTTTGCTTAATTGGTCTGGCTAGAATTTAAAGGACAATGTTGAATAGAAGTGGTAAAAGAGGGCATCCTTGTCTTGTTCCTGTTTTTAGAGGGAATGCTTTCAATTTTTCTCCATTTAGAATGGTGTTGGCCTTGGGTTTAGCATTAAGGCTTTTAATGTCCAATTTCTCAATTTATTATTTATGTTTTCTTTTCATACTTGAGAAAATATAAGAATCTATGGAGACACTGCTTTGCTTGTTTGTATATTGTCATGTGCAGATCAAGAGTTGTAAATATCAACTGGGGCATGGGAGGTAAGTTAGATGAGTGAATCAAGTTGAGAAGTTCAGGAGTAAGGAGTGGTAGAGCTCCTGGCAGGCTGACGTGTTCTTGTCTTGTGCAAAGGGGAGAGCTGTTAGTTCAAGATTGTTGCCCTTTAAGAGTGTTGTTAAGGAAGTTGGTTCCTTAACAATATATTAGAGTGTTAACCTACATTTTATCTGGCAGTTGCAGAGTTTCTGATCTAATTCCTAGTGGATCCTAGATCTTGGATCCACTTTGAGTTGACTTTTGTGTGAGGTGAAAGATAGGGATTGTTTTTATTCCTCTACATATGGATATCCAGGTTCCCCAGCACCATTTGTTAAAAAAGGCTATTCATTTGTCCAGTGTTTGTTTTTGGCATCTTTGTTGAGTACCAGATGACTGTATCAGGGTGGCTTTGTCACTGTGTCTTCTGTTCTATTTCATTGGTCTTCATTTTTATTTTGGTGCCAGTTCCATGTTGATTTTTTTCTTTTCATAACTCTGTAGTATATTTGAGGTCCAGTATGGTGATGCCTCTAGCATTACTCTTCTTGCCTAGGATTGCTTTGGCTATTCTGGGTCTCTTATTCTTTCAAATGAATTTTAGAACTGTTTTTTTTCTAATTCTGGGAAGAATGCCATTGGTATTTTGATGGGGAATGCATTCAATCTGTGTAATACCATTTTGATAATATTAATTCTGCCTATCTAAGAATGTGGGTGGGAGTTCTTTCCAACTTCATGTGTCATCTTCAATTCATTTCTTCACTGTTCTCTAGTTTTTATTGTAGAGGTCTTTCATCTCCTTGATTATATTTATTCCCAAGTACTTTTTTTAGGTTATTGTGAATATGATTATGGCATTTGCTGGTAAATGGATGGAACTGGAGAGCATCATGCTTTGTGAAATAAGCCAGACCCAAAAGTCAAGGGTCAAATGTTTTCTCTCATATGTGAAAGCTAGACCAAAATTAGAAAAAATAAAAAGGGTATGGGAAGGACACACCATGAAGAGAGATCAGTGGAAGAAAGGAAGGAAATTGAGGGGGAAGGAGGAGAAACGGGAAAAGGAGGAATAGTGGAATGAAACTGACCTATGTATATATATGAATATGAATATGAATATACCACAGTAAATTTTACCTTTCTGTATGTCTATAATGCACTAATTATAAAACCCCATAAATACATAGAAGAAATACCAGTAGAATAGAGGAAAGGGGACAGGGGAAGGGAGGAGGGGAAGGAAAGAGGAAGTATTGGGGACTGAATTGGAGCAAATTAATTCCATGATTGTATAATTATGTCAAAATGAATCCCAATATTATGTATAACTATAATGCATTAATAAAAAAAAAGAAAAAAGAAAAGAAAAAAAGTTTTTCTGTCATGTAAAAATTTAAGCCTTTCTTTGAATTTATTTTCTAATTTTTCAACAAAAAACAGAATTTGCATTTTTTGTGTTATCTCTTGACTTTTAATTGTTGGCAACTAAATAAAATTATTTTAAGATGTTTTCAGGCCAAACAAAACACTTATGCAGGTGGGATCAGCAGTTTTTTACTTTCTGGGGTAGAACACTGTAATGAATTCTTGGTGTCTCCTTTAAGGGATTGAATAGATCTAAGTAGGAACAAAATGCTGCAAGATTTCTGGAAACAAATGGTTTCAACACACTATTGTGAAATGGTTATAGTGCACCCTGCATGGTGCTTATCATGTCTATTCTTCTTGTTTTAGGTTATGGTCAGACAGGCCCCATGTCTCAAAGAGCTGGTTATGATGCCATTGCCTCTGCTATTTCTGGTCTGATGCACATCACAGGGCCTGAGGTAGGTATTCTTCTTAGAATGTTAATAATTTTATATTCCACACAATTTTTCTCTTCATTAACCTATAGGATTAAGTTAGAATTAATTTTAAAAAGAAACCAGTGAAATCAAATGACTTACTAAAGTAAAATGGAAGTGTGTTCATTACAGTTATACTGAAGCCTAAATTTCAGTATGGTCCCATGAAAAGAATACTCTTTTTAGAAAGAAGCAATAAATCAGGTAGTGAACACATTTCCCACATTTATCATATTATCCAAACTTAATAACCTTTGTGTGATTTAGGAATATTTCTTTTGTAAAGTAGAATGGCTTATTAGACCATAGATGTTCACTTTTGCCAGAGTGTACATAGCAGAGGGTTTTTAATATGTGTACATAGCAAAGGGTTTCTTTTTTCTTTTGGAATATTATAAGTAACTATGTATTTGAAGATTTGTTACCTAAATCCTCAGGCTTAGTCGAATCTGATTTGTCTTATGTGTTAGAGTTTGACAGTGAAAGAATTATTTCATTTTATGACAATCTCTCGCCACCAGTATTTGCTTGGTAAGTTCCTAAGGAGTATATAAAGGGACAAAATGTGGTTGTTTAGATTTTAAAAGATGGAGTCTGGGGGTAAACAATATGAAGTGAGAGAAAAAAAAGAATACTGAATTCTAATAAATAAAATTACTGAAAGGCATGCATTTCAAAACAAACTGAATTTGTAGGCTTACAAATCTTGTTCTAGCAGGTATTCTTTCCCTGAATCACTTTGTTCAGTCAATTCTTTAGGAAATAGTGCTGCAGTGTTGGGATAACCAAGGGGAGTAACTTCAACTCTTCTCTTTTGCAGTCTTTATTTCTTTTTAGTTCAAAACACCTGTGGGATTTTAATGTCTTATGATATAAGTTCTTTTGTGCTTTCATCCTCTGTTGTTTAATTTTTATAAGTCACAGAAAAAAATGTGTGGCTTTTTCTTAAAATATTCAGAGTACGAGTTTCTTTCTACTTATTTAGAGAATGGAGCATGAACATATTTCTCTTTATTTTATCCCATAGTCTCTTATATGGTCAAGCATGCACAGTAATGAGTGCTGATTTTAAGGACACTGAATTCAATTGGGAATATGTGAAAACATCTGGGTCTTTTAAAATTATAAAAGTGCTAAAATGAATGAAAGACTGCTGAAGTGAAGGACTTTCATTATTCCTATACTACACCATACTGTTTCTGAAAGGGATAACCATACAGTGTGTCCTCAGCCTTATAATTTACCAGTCAACAACAACTTTCCTTTTCTTTGGTACCATACTTGGGTAATTTTTGTTATAGCTAAGCAAATAATAACATGTATTGAGCACTTACTATGGTGTCTTTAAACATTGTTTTATATACTTTTAAGTATATTAAATTAAGCAAACTTAATTCTCCTGTACTGTATCTCTTTCACCTAGATACAGTTCTCACTCTTTAGGTCATTCATTGGACCAGTGAAAAGTTATTGCATATATTCCAAGGACTAAGGAAGGCACTGGGATTAAGCACACTGTAGGATAGGCATAGTTCTTGCCCTCCTGGAACTGTCAAGTGGGAACAAGCATTAGCAGAAGATACCCATTGCATACCAATAAAAGGAGTGCTGAAGAAGAGTACAGGGGGCTATTAGCATTTATAATATTATACCTCAGACCATTATCATACTTCTAAGTATCTTCACAAAATGTGGTTGGACAGCAAAAAATAAAAGCAGATTAAAGAAATCAGGTCATACTGGGAGTTCTTAAGAAAGTTGTTTTTCCTTATCTTATCAGCAATATATGTTAGTTCCCTAAATCTCTCAGCAGCAGCTTCATAGGTGGGTTCACTTATGAAGCCCTGGATAATTTCGCTTGCTAGCTTATGCTCACACAGGATTGTATCATGTTGTGTGTGAACTTTTATCAAACTGCACAGCTGTATATCTGTGCTGCAGCATAACTTCATGCTGTCAGATGATTGATTGGAACCAATTCAGGTTGCTCTATTGTTAGGAGAATTTGCCACATCACCCTTCACAGTGGAGCCTCATCTTTACAGGATGGTCAGTTAGGAAAGGTTTCTCTGAAGACTTGATGTTTCAGGGGGGACCCAACTTGGCAAAACCATGCATGATGCCTCCCTCCATTCCAGAGAGTCTGATAGGTTTGAGGAATCAAAAGAAGGCCAGTATTATTGGATTATTGTGAACTAGCAACAAAGGGTGCAAAACAAGATTGAAGAGGGAAGGAGTAGTGTGGCTATATTTATTGTTTATAGATATTACGTTAGTTTGATGAGAAGAGAAGGTACATTATTATGCATAATTTTTTAGAGGTTATCGCATGTATTTCTCCCTGGAAATTGAGTGATGTTCCAAGCATAGCCTGGTACTCTAATGGAAAAACTCAAAATGTATTTTTTTCCCTAGTGAGTAATATGCCATTTTTATCCCAGAGGAGGCATACCCAAATGTATAGTATGGGATAAAATTTATGAAAGCAGTTTTATGATGGGATTTAAGTCAAACTGGGTACAGTTGACCTCCACTCAGTCTAAAATCTAACTTTTTAGGTTTGTTATGGTATTGTCAGACAAGATTCTGATTTGATTGTGGAGAAAAAGAGAACCAATTTTGTGTACCTACTCTGTCTAGGCCTATGCTAGATGTTTTTCTTGTTATCTCTTCAGCCTTCATGTTGCTCCTTCCAGGTAGGTATAGGTACATTCTGTTAACTGAAGCTTAGAGGTTTAAATAACTTGTTCAGAGTGTTCAGATGTTCAAAATATGTTTTCCTCCTGGAGCCTGTATTCTTTCCACTCTCCATGATGTCTACAGAATGAATCTTGGTTTATTGTATTTGTATTTTGTTTGTGCATGCTGCTTGATATATGTTACACTTTAGTGAACAGGCCATTGGTACAGTGACTCAACTAAGAGGCTGAGGCCCAGCTCCAGTGCACACCTGTGTAATGTTGCCCAAATGGGTCTCAGTAGAATATGAGCCTTTAAGAAAGACCATGGTCTTTGCTTGGGTCACTTATGTCTCTGTGCTTAGAATAGAGCCTTAGTAAACATTCAATAAATGTACGTTTAGTGAATGAGTAAATGAATGCCTGGCACTGTACTCTGTGATCTTGTATATATTACATAGTTTACCGTGTTCCAGAGAAGTGCTTCTGAAAGTGAAGCTCACATACCTCCTCTAAAAGATATTGTGCAGTGCAAATTTAAGATATCTTTTGTAAAATAAAAAAAGCATGAAATTATGTATAACATAAGGTAGTCAATTTCTTATTGTAACTGCAGGTTCTTGAGTTCCACCCTCAGAAATACTGATTTGCGGGTAGAGCAAATATGCATGTTTAATGATGGGCCCAAGTGCTTTTAATAGAGGTGTTTTGTGAACCACACTTGGAAATAGTTATGGGAGATATTATTATTATTATTAAAAATGGTTTTACTTTATAAATAGCAGGTATTCTTTCATAGATTAAAACAGAAGTTAATAACTTATTAAGGTCTATAACTATATGCTTAAATTATAATCTTATGTTTAGAACAAAATCATATTCCCTTATTTTTTCATTCGTGGCACTATGCTAACCAATTTTATTCAAAAGAGAATATTCTTTTTTTGTTTTTTTTCAGCATAGGGCACACAGAAAAGGTATTGGGAATGAAACCAATAAGTATGAGAGATTCTGGAAAGTAAATGACACAAACATGTATGATATGAGTTCTAAGTAAAGGGTTAACTATAAGTCATGGCACACTTAAACATCAAGAAGAATGATGCCAATTGAAAAATCAAACATAAATCATACCTGTTTATTTTTGGATTAGGTACCACAATAAGTTACTCTATAAGGAGCAGATAAGTTAGCTAGATCAGATATACATTCATAAGAAAATCAGAAAAATATATAACTTCATAAAATTAAATGTTATGTTATATTGTAGACAATACAGAAAATTGTAAAATAGAGATGTCTTTTTTTTTTTTTTTTTTTAGGATACACAACCTTTGAAACCCTACTGAGTTTTATAATTCTAGAGGTTTGGGGGCTAGGGACACTGCATGTGTGCATATATGAGAGAGATGTGTTGACACTGATATCAGTTATTATTCAATTCTGTTCTAGTGCTCAATAAAATAGGTGTTCTTAATTTAATTTTTTTCAAAATTAATTGAGAAAATTTCAAAATCTATTTATAACTTACATTTAATGTGATAGAGAGAAGTTCTTATTATAATTGGAAGAAGTGAGATGTAGCTTAGGGTAGGACTTCAAGGAAATGGTAGGACTTGAGTTGCTTGGTACCTTAAAAGATGTATGTGATTCAGATGGAGGGAGACATTCCCAGTGGAGATCACACTAGGAGTAAATACAGGGAAGCAGTAAAGAATCAGGTGTATCTATGGGCCACTTACAGAAAAACTGAGAGTTAAAATTTCAGAGCAGTGTGGGAAGGTTGGTTGAGGACATACTTTAGAAAAATCTTCAAGGTCAAATAAAGAAGGTGTGATGTAGTTTGCTCACAGTATAGTTAGGTAGATTTTTTTTTAGAAGGGGAATGATATGATGAAAGCTGTGCTTCTTAAGATTAGTTTGACCCAAGCATACAGGTTGAATTAAATCAGGTTAACGAGCTTCCTAGATATTTGTTTTACCTTATAAGAACCAAGGAAATGCACATAATTACACAAAGAAAAAATGTTCTTACATTGCTGTCAAAGGCACTGTATTGTATTTTCTTTAACATTTTATTTAATAAAAAAGATGTTATACATTCATGTAATACTAAATCCAAAAGTCATATAAGTAGGTTGACCATACACTTTGTCATACAAAATAGGACATTTTTAAGAGTGTAAGAGGGCTTTCTATCTACTAACAGTGTGACATAAACAGGGCCTTTTTCCCCCTATTATCTAGGAGTCTACAATATAAACCTTATTTCCTCTGACCCCAACTCATCTTCTCCTTAGAGGC